ATAAAGCCCGACTGCTCACTGGAGGGAAGGATACTAGAGACAAAGTTGAAGTACTTTGGCCACATTATGAGGAGACAGCAAAGCCTAGAGAAGACAATTATGCTGGGGAAAGTGGAAGGCAAAAGGAAGAGGGGCCGACCAAGGGCAAGATGGATGGATGGCATCCTTGAAGTGACTGACTTGACCTTGAAGGACCTGGGGGTGGTGATGGCCAACATGGAGCTCTGGCGTGGGCTGGTCCATGAGGTCACGAAGAGTCGGAGACGACTGAACGAATGAACAACAAATTCATTTAGTTGCTTCTGACTCTTTGCGACCTCATGGAACAGCCCGCACCAGAGCTCCCTGTCAGCCATGGCCACCCCCAGCTCCTTTAAAGTCAAGCCAGTCACTTCAAGGATAGCCATGGGGAGAAATTTCCGCTATCCGGCTTCCCCCCATTGATCTAATGCAACATAGTAACCTCCCATGTTGCTGACACAGTAACATGTACTGTTCCTCTACAGTTTTACAATAGAGCCCCAGTGGAAGTAGTCCTACATCACTGGATAGGAGCCGAGAGGCTCTGTCATAAAATTACAGAGGAACTGGTGCGTGCCGCCAAAAAGTACCTCAACTTATAAAGTCACTAGGCTTTCTACATCACACCCAGAAACAAAGCAAGAAGATCATCTTGAAAGTTGACTTCTCAGCCTTGTGGCTTTTGTCTTATATGCTCATATTTTGTTTTGTTTTATATATTAAATGCATACATGAAAACAGTATAGTTATCAGAGATTTGAACTAACATAAGTATGTTCTTGACACCCAGTTTTGTTCCATTTCACAGTATCTTCTCTGACACACTGACAGTGCTAAATTGATACCTTTCATCAGACATGGTTTAGATGAGAGCCATTACATGGAGGCACTATTGGTAAATTGTTTGGTTGGCTCAAAAGATGGGATTGAACCTGTTATGGGTGGGGTTGAGCTTCCTCATGAAAGATGAAGCACTTCACAGGAACTGATAGATCAAGCCTGGTCATGAAATACTAGACTTGCGAGTTAAAGAGTATCCCAGGCCCTGAGATTTCAATGCCAAGTCTTGAGATCTAAGCATAAACTCTGGTGATATCATAATGCAGGCTCTTTTGAAGTCATTAAGCATGATCGACTTATCATCAATCACAGTAAATAAAATCTGTTGTTATTGTTGCTTTCATGTTGAACTGATTTTCATAGTGGGAGGGGCTTTCCTGTTTCGTGCTCCCAGAGAGATGAAAGACATGAAAGAAATGAAGGAAACGGGAGAAACGAATCCTGCACACAACTCTAATGCTCTGCACCCATGGCCCAAGATGAGCTATGCCTGTGTAAAAGCAGATGCCAATGTGACTCATTGGAAATAAATTCAGTGGGAGCCAATAGGTTCACATGCAGCATGGCTTATTTCCTAGCAAGTAGGCTGATAAATATGCCTAAATCTTGGTTTTATAGATTGTCTGATCTCCCTAAACTAATCTAACTTTCCTATCTTCAATTAAGCATTTGAATCATAACAGTCAATCTTTTAAGAGAAATCAACATTTTCTGCACACTTAATTCAAATGTGCAATACTTAACATTTTTAAGGCCAGAATTGACTTCAGATGGCATATTTGCCTATATAGGCAGTCGCTGATTAGTCAGCCGCTAATTCTTTTAAGGCAAATATTGAAACACTATATTTAGAAAATCAAAATGACTTTAATAATGAAGCTCAAACATCTAGAGATTAAATAGTATTCTAACATGCTGAGATGCCAGCTCTCTCATATTTATTTTAAAATATATCATTTAAGTAAGAAGAAGCTATATTTTTAGACAATAATGGTGCACTGTTTTTGACACCTGATGCATTAAGTGTGATTTTTTTTAAAGGAAAGCAAAAGTTTTCACCAGGTTTGGGGAAGCAATTTTTTGATCCTCCAAACTTTAAAGTGGGAGAACTCAATGAATCTTACCTAATAAATATAATATAAATAACTAAAGCAAACTCTCTTCATGATTGATCATTTCAAATAATACTCGAATTGAAGTTACAACTGTTCCCAGTGGATGGGGGGTGAAGGGGAGGAGGGCAAAGATAAACTGTTAGACACAAGAGGTTGATAAGTGTGGAACTGGGATAGGTAAGGTTAATGTAATTAAGATACATTATATACATTATATTGTGAGAAAATGTAAGTGGAATTTCATTATCGAGATTTGTATTACTCGACTCATGTCCACAATTAATAAAAAAATACACACAMAAAAGTTCTGTGGAAGCTGAACAATGCACGGAGCTGAGCTGGGTTATTGCAGGCCAAAACTGTCCAACACCGTCTCAAACACAGATTAACTAAAGTCATGGGTTGCTCTGAATTGTGTCGCTGACTGGAGCAAATTGTGACTTTGAGCTCACGTAAAAGGGCTGCAACTATTCATTGGCCCATTGCTCATCAGTCATTGACCCCCCCCCCCATCATTCTCTCCTCACCTGAAGTAATGCTGTTTGGACCAAAGAGGCACCCCTCCCCCTCACTGATCTGGCATTTGGACCAATGTCACTCCAGGCAACATTCTATTTTCATGATCAAAGTCATGCTCACTGGCTGCTGGGATGAGAACCTAAGAGGTTCAGAGATGTCAGACAGTCAGGACTCCGGCTGGATCAACACTGCCCTATATCCCGGGATCCTATCCCAGATTATCTGTTCATATAATCCAGTTCAAAGCAGATAACCCGGGATCAGATCCTGGGATATAGGGCAGTGTAGCCTCCCTCCCATATCCACAGCAGTTGTGTGGATGGCAGTCTAAACCACTGTTTCTTAAACTGTGAGTCCCAACTTCAAATGGAGTCCCCTTGGGGCCCTTCCAGACAGGCGCTATATCCCAGGATCTGATCCCAGGTTTTCTGTTTATTCCAGATTATCTGGCAGTGCAGATTCATATAATCCAGTTTAAAGTATAAAACCAGGGATCAGATTCTAGGTTATAGGGCCTGTCTGGAAGGACCCTTAGCTGAATGTTGGGGTTCTGAAAAATTAGACATTTGCATGACTGTGTTGTTGAAGGCTTTCATGGTCAGAATCACTGGGTTGCTGTGAGCTTGTGAAAATGCTGTGAAAATGAACAAAATCTGGCTACCAGTATTAAAAGAAACTCTAAATAAGGATAGTAAATAAAGAGCAACACTCCAAACACAAGGGAATTCCAGGCATGAAACAATGAAGGCCAGTTAACACCTCCCAACAAAGGATTCCCCAGGCAGGAAGCAGCCAGGCTTTGAAGCTGAAAGGCCATTCATTGCTAATCAACCTGGCCAACTGCAACACTCACGCTTGCCTCAAGCAGACAAGAGTTCTTTCTCTCACCTGGACATTCCACAGATATATAAACCCCACTTGCCTAGTTTCCAACAGGTCTCACAATGTCTGAGGATGCCTACCATAGATGAGGTCGAAACATCAGGAGAGAATGCTTCTGGAACATGGCCATACAGCCCAGAAAACTCACAACGACCCAGTGATTCCAGCCATGAAAGCCTTCAATGGGACAATGAAAATCAGTCTGCTTAGGAAGCCTTGCAAATGCTGATTTATCAGTGGATGTTTGTTATTTTTAATACCTATTTTATATGCAGTAGAGCATGAGTGCTCAAACCAAGGCCCGAGGGCCAGATATGGCCCTCCAACGTAATTTACCCGGCCCTTGATCAGGGCCAGCCTAAGTCTGAAACGACTTGAAAGCACACAACAACAATCCTATCTCATCAGCCAAAAGCAGGCCCATACTTCCCAATGAAATACTAATATGTTTATATTTTTTATAAACTATCTCTGGGTTGATCCGCAGTTGACATGCTGGATGAGTCCTGGGTAAATGGTCAGTGTAAAACTACCCCTAGTCCCCAGATTATTTGTTTATTTATTTATAGTATTAATATTCCAGCCTTCTCACCCCACAGGGGACTCAGGGCGTATTACAATACACATATACATGGCAAACTTTCAATGTCATTTAGATATACAACATATATAGACAGACACAGAGGCAATTTTCCATCTTCATGAGGGTATGCTTGATTCCGGCCACAGGAGGAGCTGCCGCTTCACCATCCACTTGTGACACCGAGTCCTCATTTTTCTGCATTATGCTGGAAGGTTTTATGGTGCTGTAAATTAGTTAAATTAAGCTCCCTGCATAAAGCAGTACTTAAATTTCCTACTTGACAGATGCAACTGTCTTCCGGGCTGCATAGGTTGACAGCAAACTAGACTATTAATAGTCAGGAGCTTACTGGCTTCGAACTCATGATCTCTTGGTCAGTAGTGATTTAATGCAGCTGGCTACTCACTAGCCGCGCCACAGCCAGGTCCTTATCTGCTTATTCCAGATTATCTGGCAGTGTAGACTCATATAATCCAGGTCAAAGCAGATACTTTGGGATCAGATCCTGGAAAATAGGGCAGTGTAGATCTAGCCCTAGTCCAACACTGGAACTACCCATAAAAGAAGCACACTTTTGAAAAGTTCTTCTGATCCTAAAGAACGTGTGACTTCCAATCAAGGGAGGTGGAGTTTTTCCCTGTGGGTTTCGCAACCAGGCTGAAGTAACCTCTGCTTTCAGAGTTGGTGCGCGTCGATAAAGGGAAGGCAAACATTGAGCAAGAACGGAAGGCGACGCGTTTCCCCCTTTCTCGCCCTTTCGCTTTGGCCAGGGCTAAGTAAGCAGCCATGGCTGAAGGGAGACAAGTGAACTGGTGAGAGACCTCAGGCCTTAGACCCTCTCCTCGGGCTCCTGAGACTTTCCTTCCCTCCTGATCCTTGCACAGTTTCCCGCATTGCCTGGGGGAGTTTCCAAGAAGCAGCCCTCTTGGTCTGTTCTCCTGAAGAGGAAGGAAGGAAGGAAGGCGTGGGGTGGGGGTGTCATAACTAGGTTTGGGTAATTTTTTTTTGCAAGGCTTTGGTAGAGATCCACCCACCTTTGGAGTCCCTCCCCTATCTTGCTTCTCTTTAGGAAAGGGAACTGGGACTTTTTAGTTGGTTTCCTTCTCGCTTTTGTGGATCTTCTCCAGCGGGCGAAGGAGGGTCTGTCGCAACGTGAAAGCCACTCAGGTGTGTGTTTGTGGGTTAAATAGCACCTGGAGGCCGCGGACTAAGCCAGGTTAGTTTTGGGGTCTGCAACTCCCATTGTCCCAGGCCTCGTGGTTCCCAACAAACTGGAGGGAAACCACGGTGTGTAGAAAGGTTGCAGTTTGATACCGCATGAACTGCCCTGGCTCAATGCTATGGACACCTGGGAGTTGTAGTTTGTTGGGGTACCAGCACTCTTTGGAAGAGAAGGCTAAAAAGCTTGGGAGACTACAACTTCCAAAAGTGGAAGGCTAAGATTTTGATACAATGACAGGTTCTCCACCCCTGGTCTACTTTGCTCTGTAGTTGAGCAGCAGCCGTTCCACTTGTATTTGGAGGGGGTCTGAGGGCCCTTCCACACAGCCTATATCCCAGAATATCAAGCCAGAAAATCCCACAATATTTGCTTTGAACTGGGTTATCTGAGTCCACACTCAGATAATGTGGGATTTTCTGCCTTGATATTCTGGGATATAGGGCTGTGTAGAAGGACCCTCAGTGGTTTGTCACTGGTTGATTTCAGCATCCTATGAAGATTTGGGATTCGTAGTTCGGTAAGGCATTAGAATGCTTTGGCTAAGAATTGGGAATGCCTTTTCCTATTCTACAGATGCCAGGCCTCTGAGGACCCTTCCACATAGCCATATAACTCAGAATATCAAGGCAGAAAATCCCACAGTATCTGCTTTTAACTGGGTTATATGAGTCCACATTGCTATATATTCCAGTTCAAAGCAGATAATTTGGGATTTTATACAGCTGTGTGCAAGCGGCCTAAGGGTAAATGTTTCCCTTGACATTAAGTCTAGTTGTGTCCGACTCTGGGGGTTGGTACTCATCTCCATTTCTAAGCCAAAGAGCTGGCATTGTCCATACACACCTCCATGGTTATGTGGCCAGCATGATTGAATGGAGCACCATTACCTTCCCACAGAAGCCATACCTATTGATATACTCACATTTGCATGTTTTCAAACTGCTAGGTTGGCAGAAGCTGGGGCTAACAGCAGGAGTTCACCCCACACTCCGGATTTGAACTGCCAACCTCAGCAAGTTCAGCAGCTCAGCAGTTTAACCCACCAGGGGGCCCTCTGAGTCTACACCACCATATATTACAGTTTAAAGCCAATAATGTGGGATTTTATTCAGCTGTGTGGAAGCAGCCTAAGATGTTGCTGACGTGGGTCAAAGTACTGTAATTCTTTAGTGTTTCTTAATTATCCAGGCCTGTTTCTTAATTGTTCTTTGGAAATAAAAAGTTCCAGGTGGGTATTCATCTGCTGCCTAGAAAGAAGAGCTGGTCATTCATGTGAGCATGAGAACTCCCTTCTCTCATCTGTCTTGTAGAATTGATGCAGTTTGTCGCCACTTTGGATGGATCTACACTGCCATATAATCCAGTTTCTGAATCCAGATGTTCTACTTTGAACTGGATTATATGAGTCTACCGTTCCATATAATCCAGTCGAAAGCAGTCTGTTGGAAACTAAGCACGTGAGGTTTCTATATCTGTGGAATGTTCAGGATGGGAGAAAGAACTCTTGTCTGCTTGAGGCATGTGCAACTGTTGCAATAGGCAACCTTGATTAGCATTTAATGGCCTTGTAGCTGCAAAGCCTGATTGCTTCCTGTCTGGGGGAATCCTTTGTTTGGAGGTATTTGTTGCCCCTTATTGATTCTTGTCTGGAATTCCTCTATTTTTGAGTGTTACTATTTATTTACTGTCCTGGTTTTAGAGGGTTTTTAAAAATACTGATAGCCAGATTTTGTTCATGTTCATGGTTTCCTCCTTTCTGTTGAAATTGTCCAGATGCTTGTGGATTTCGGTGGCTTCTCTGTGGAGCCTGACATGCTGGTTGTTAGAGTGGTCCAGCATTTCTGTGTTCTCAAATAATATGCTGTGTCCAGGTTGGTTCATCAAGTGCTCTGCTATGGCTGACTTCTCTGGTTGAGTGAGTCTGCAGTGCCTTTCATGTTCCTTGATTCATGGTTGGGCAGTGCTGTGTTTTAATGCATCTCTTGCCTTCCAGTATCAAAGTCTCAGACCAGCACATCACTCTGGTCCTCTTATCTACAGCTATTAGCTAAAAAGTTTTATTTTGTAAATTGTCCTGTCAGTCCTTTTCTATTGCTGAATCTTAACTAATATAAAAAAGTATTATTTCTTTTTTTTTTCTTTCTTACCAGTGGGCCAGTTTTTCAGAATTACGGAACTGTTGTCCAGATGCCTGTTCCCAATACAGTTGGTATGTAGATTAAGTAATTATTGGAAGTATTTTAAACATTGCAAATGGTAATGGTGTCTACTCAGGTAGAGTTTTGTAACAGTGCAGTCCTGTACATGTTTACTGTGCATCTAATCCATCAAAACACATTTCGGTTTTAAAGCATTATAGTTAAGCTATTTCCAAGCTAAGATAACAAACATCTGTTTCTGTTTCAAATCTAGGTTACTGCAACATGAGTTTCAATGCAAGATTAATAATACATTTCAGTACATAATAATTTGCAATTTCTGTTTTAGAGAAGGAAGCCCCAATCACAAGGAATTCACATGTGATAAATATAAAATTTGTTCATTCAAATATAGTTACATAAACATTCAATTTAGTGTCAGATTTTCCCATAAAACAATTGTATGAACACAAAAACCACTCTTATAGAGAGTTGGAAACAAGAAAAAATTACCTTACCTTACGAGAAATTAATCAGATCTTGGATTTGCAACAGTCAGAAAATTAAACATATGAGGATCAAAGAAACCCAATGGAAAATAATTTCTAAATGCCCCCTTCAGTTAGTTCACATAATGAGAAATATTTCCAACATAATTGTGAGGGAATAAGTTGCAGAAAGATCCAGAATTATTACAGTAAAATAAGAAATGTAATGGAAGAAATAACAGGGAAAAATTAAGGTGGGATAAAGCCAGATTCATGTCTCTCAGGGCCCTTCCACACAGCCATATAACTCAGCAAATCAAGGCAGAAAATCCCACATTATCTTCTTTGTATTGGGATGTCTGAGTCCACATTGCCATATGTTCCAGTTCAAAGTAGAAAGTGTGAGATTTTATTCAGTTGTGTGGAAGGGGCCTTACTATAGAAGCAAAGGAAGATAATAATTGGACAGAAATCCTAAAATATATAATAGCCTCAATACAAGCTGCAATAGCTCGATGATGGAGAGACAATATGAAATGGGATTTAGAAGCTTGGCAGGCTTATCTCTCAGAGGAGAGAATCAAAGGTAAAAAAGAAGTATATGAATAGTTGTACAAAACAAGACTGGTACAGAAAATGGTCTATTCTAACCGACAAAATAGACAGAGATGATAGCATTTTGAACCAGGCTTTCCACATGGTTAAATCAATGCAATGACATCATTTGGAATTGTTGTTCCAGGAGGGAGGGGGGAAATGGGGGGGCAAGAGTACGGGTAATACACATCTAAGGAATATATAATGTTTCACATAAGGTAAAGTGACTTTTGGAATAATGTATATTGAGATAAGACTTGCATGGCAAAAGTTTGTTAATTGAATGGATGTATCAATTAAAATATTTTAAAATAAAAGGACATTTAACTACGCAGTAGGACATTATTAGTTTGCAGAATAAATCATACAACTGATGAAATTTGAGTGACAATTTCCTCTGAAACTGCTACCTGCCATGTTTTTCAAGACCACTGGTAGCCAACTGGCTCAGGATTCATTCTACACCATACATTAGTGCAGTTTGATTTCAGTTTAACTGCTGTAGCTATGGAGTTCTGGGAGTTTGGTGAGGCACTAGCATCTTTTTGCAGAGATAGCTAAAAACCTTGTAAAAGTACAATTCCCATATTCCATAGCACTGAGCATGGCAATGAAAGATGTGTCAAACTGCATTCATTCTACAGTGTAGATGCACCCTCGGTTCTAATGATATCTTTTTGCACGTGTGCAGTCCTAGATTGGGAAAATATTCCTTTAAAAAGTTTTATTCGGATCCACTAAATATTGGGATGCACAGATAGCTGAATCATTCTGCTTTCTGCATCTTGTGAATAAATCTTGCATTTCTGTTTCTCTTTATCCTAACATGGTAGTTTTGTAATAAAGAAGAAATAATTTGTATGTGGAGATTCAGTATTTAATATGCTTCAACAGTATAACAATGGTATTTTGCATTTTACTGTGAAAAACAATATTTTAATTGCTCTGTTACTGTATGTCTTTATGTGCTAGGTGTCTTTCCATATGTAGCCACACAGTTGATTTTAAATTGTTAATTTTATATTTATATCCTATTTGTATAGTACTGTAATCCTTTCATAATGTATTTTAATCGATGTCTTTTCTGGTGGTGTGTTTCAATGGATGTATTCATTGTATGTATTACATAGTGATGTGTTTTAGCTGCATTGTACCCTGCCTCCAGCCATAAGAAGAGGCAGGTAACAAATTGATGATGATGATGATGATGATTTTAATAATGATAATCTCAACCCCCAGGACCTTTGACTCCCTTTCTTGCTGGCATGGGCAGTCTCCCTGGGTATGAAGGCACAGGAATTCAAGATCAGGGCAAGTATATAAGTGAAGCAGTGGTTTTCATGGACTCCATGCTTGTGGTTTACACCCTAATATCGCTGTCAGTAAAGCAGAATTTGCAAAAGTGTTTTTCTGCCAGCATAGTCACTGTCACTGTAGTCTTCTTTTCCAAGCTCTGCTCAAAAGTGCTGCAAGATTTATCTTATGCTTTGCAACAAAGTAAGTCTTAAATCCATAGTGCTGTCAGTTGGGTTTTGGGTTAATTCTTTCCTGCGGCTAAAACATTGGTAGAGAATGAGACCCAGTGAGATTGATGCCTATCCCCTGGCACTGCCATGATAAAGAGGCCAGAAGCTTTTGGTTACATTTCAGAGCTATCACAATTTAGTGTTTCATGATTCCTAAATTGTGAGTACTCTACCACAAATGTATGATGGTGTCATCAACTCTTGTTTGAAGTTGAGTGGTTTTAGCACACCAAGATGAAGATTCGTATGTTATTGAAACTGTAGTCAAAGTGCTTCATCAAATACAGAAGTGAAAGCTCGTGGCTGTGTCAAAGGAGGGGAAGCGTGTATGCCTAACTCGCTTCATATGACACTTCACCACATGCCTGAAAGAGAACTTTGTGTTTCACAGCATTTATGTTTGACCTTGCCCACAGCCTTTTTGCTTTGCTTAAAACTTTTTCTTACCCAAAAAGGAAAAGTAGATTGATATTAATGTATGGATTTTGATTTACTTTATTACCAAGACACAATTTAAAGAAAGACTTTTAAATGTGTTTTTCCTCACTTTGCAGAGCATTCACAATCTTTATTTATTTATTTCACTTGTGTATTGCCTTTCTCCTTTCGGCAGGAGACTAAAAGCAGTTTCCAATATAATATAATATAATAATAATAACTTTATTTTTATACTCCACCTCCATCTCCCTGAAGGGACTTGGGGAAGCTTACAAAGGGACAAGCCCAAGAATTACAGGTTAAAACAAGCACAATAAAATACAATCATCAACAACAAATCAATTAAAAAAACATCGCAGTCAGGCAAGTCTGTTCAGTCGATAAAAAAAACATCACAGGCAGGCAGGTCTGAACAGACTGCTCTCTGGCACCACGAGATGCAGAGCCAATCTTAAGAAATGGGGCTACAAAGTGGAATCCATGACATGCAGGTGTGGAGAAGAGCAAACTACAGACCACCTGCTGCAATGCAACCAGAGCCCTGCCACATGCACAATGGAGGACCTCCTTGCGGCAACACCAGAGGCACTCCAAGTGGCCAGCTACTGGTCAAAGGACATTTAATCAACTACCAAGCTTGCAAATTCTGTGTTTTATCTGTTTGTTTGTTTTTGTTAAAAATGTAATACAAATGTCTGGTTGCTGATGACACGACAAATAAATAAATAAATAAATAAATAACAGTCAGGCAACATCATAAAAACAATATCATGGCTGAACAAAAATTGATGTTGGGTTCGGGTGGCTCAGAGTAAGCGCAGTGGTTCCTAAATAGAGCCAAAGGAAAGTGCAACATTCAGAGGGCTGGGCAGGAAGGATAAAATGTCCTTAGCCATTAAAGCGTCAGAAATACAGGAAAGGGCCCAAACTAAAGTGCAGGAGCTTAATTAAGGTTGGGGTAATTCTCTAGTGAACTGCCAACATAATTATGTTAAAATTTAATCTCACATAAAGAAATCTAACATAACGATAATAATATACAATTATCAATTAAATCATAAAACATGACATTTAACATCAAAACATGAAATTAAAAGCATATCAATATAAACATCAATATCACGCAATCCAACAATTGCTGTTCAGGCCATTCCAAATATATCTATTTCACATAATCCCTGATCATTCCTTATACTGCTTACTGCCCAAAGGCTTGGTCCCATAGCCAAGTTTTTACTTTTCTTTTGAGGGCACTGATCTAGTTTCATTGGGGAAGGAGTTTCATAGCCGTGGAGCTACCACTGAGAAGGCCCTGTCTCTCGTCCCCACCAATCGCAGTTGCGAGGGAGGTGGAACCAAGTGCAGGGTCTCCTCAGATGACCATATATTCTAACAGCCTTTAAAAAACTTTTTTCTTTACAGCTAGGAAACATTTCCCTCTCCCACCCAATTTGGTTCCCATTCAAGGAGATCAGCCATGTCTACAACAGACAGACTGGAAGTAAGTGAGGCAAATAATTGTGGGAATACCATCCCTTATTTTTCCCGCAATGCCAACATATTGGACTTAATCCCTTTGAATAAATTTTCCTTCCAATTCTTTATACTTCTCCAGTTTAATTTTCTTCATCCCCTTCATTATATTCTGTACTGTTTGATTCGTGAGTGGGCCTTCCTTCTGCCATATTTTTGTATTGTTCTTACCATGTACTCATTATCCTTAATCATCAATTTATAAATTATTCCTATCACCCCTTTCTCTTGTTTTTTCCATTTTTAAAATATCTCATCCAGTTTATTTATTTATTTATTTCATACACTTGTACCTTGCCCTTTTCACCCCCGAGGGTGAGAAGTTTTATCTCCCCTCTTTATTTTTTTTACCACATTTACCTTGTTTATGTTTATTGTATACTCCCAATATTTTTTTATCCCATTCCTATTACCCATATTTTCTGTTATCCTACCCATGGGAATTAGTTGACCATTCATGTCATAAATATCTTTAATTTTGTCAAGTCCTTTACTTCTCATTTCCTTCCACTATTTCAGGTCATTCTCTTTCTCATATAAACTTTCTAAAGGTGTCCATTTAGATATTTCTGGCATCTGTTTCAGTTGCCGTTTTTCCATATTTCAAATACATTTTTCCTAGGGCCATATGATTTTTTAATATCTGCCGTTAAATTGCTTGTGAATACCCCATACCTTCCCTCACCTTTATTTCCTTCATTTTCTATCCTAATCTATTTTTTCTTGCTACTGTTAATTTCTAGTAGTAGTTTTATTTGAAAAGCCTCATAATAGAATTCCAGTTTGGCAATCCCCATCCTATTTTCTCCTGAGGTATATAGTTAATTCTAAGTGTTATTCTAGATTTTTTACCTTCAAATGTTCATTATCTTATAGGTTGGTTCCATTTCCTAAATAGTCCCTGAATACATTAGTTTAGGGTTTAAAACATTTTAGTTGCTCTTGTTTTACCTAAAATGCTTAGGTTCTTATTTTTCCACCCTTTTATATTCTTTATAACTTTCTTACATGCTTCTTTTGTATTGTTGCTTCTAAGGATTTATTTTTCCACATTGCGTATATCTCCATATTATCCAGTTCTCTTTTGACTTTTAAAATTTGATGATGAGTTTGTGCATTACTATGGTCTGTTGTTTGTTTTGCAACCTTCTCAGTTCCTCAGGTTTTTTGTGCCTTACTGTAATTTCCTCAATTTTTATCTGAGATTTAGTTTTTGGGAGGATTGTTCAAGGCACCAGATATAAATCAGTACTTGGTTAGCATTTGGGTGGAGATGAATGGCCAGAACAAATGGTCTTGGAGCCACATGCAGCTTCCAGGACAGACCTGTCAATAATAAACTTAAATCGAAATAAGAGAATGCAGTGGGTCCTTGATATCTTCTGAGGTTCAGTTGTACAACTTATCATGGATACCATGCTTAAGTCCCATTATATTCAGTGGTATAGTAAAATGGTGTTCCTTATACAAAATGTACAAATCAAGGATTACTTTTTGGATATTCTTTTGAATATTTTCAAGCCATGGATTGGAGAACCGGTGCAGAACTGGTGGATTCAGAGCACCAACTGCACTCTTTCAAATGTGCTGGTTGTTCTTTACCTTGTTTAACATTTCCTCCCAATTTAGCTGTAATAAGCTGCTTGTTTCTGGAAGAGTGAAAATATTGGTAAATGAATGTACAAAATAAATGTATCTTTTTAAAAAGTACACATGCTCTTTGTAAAGCAGAGCTCCTCCAAGTGAAGTCTCTGAATAGATGGTGATTTCTGATTTATTTCCACTGTTGTTTTCTACAGAATTCCTGCTATTTCAGAAGATGATGCCAAAGAAGCTTTTGTTCAGTATGCTTCAAGCAAGTGCTGCTACAGCAAAGCCCCAGCCATAGAGATGTCTCTTCAGGATCTGCAGACATTCAATACCTACAGAGTAAACAGTATATTTTGTTGCAAACCCATACATTCATGCTCTGTGCAAATCATACCTGTCTTCTCACAGATCAGGTGTTCTATTTTTAAGGTCCACTGTGAGCACTTCTAACAATCTGCATACTTATCTTTCATTGGGGGTGAGTGGAATTGTGGCAGTACTTCAAAGTATACCTCTCTGTTTATATATCTGAGATTGTAGTCTGAAAGACTAGCTTTTTCTTTCCCTTTACAGTGTGAGGACATAAGACAGGGCCTTTTCTTTTGTGGCACCCCAATACTGGGATGCCCTCTCTTTGGAATCCTGTTTGTTGCCTCACCTGCTGACAAATTAAAATATTTTATTAAAACCTTTGGGATTGAATGATTCTGCCCAAACCTGAATATGTTGGTTTAAGCTGATTCAATTTCTTTTGTTTAATACATTTTAGGCATTATCCTTTAGAACAATAGTGCTCAACCTGTGGGTCTCCAGATGTTTTGGCCTTCAACTCCTAGAAATCCTAACAGCTGGTAAACTAACTGAGATTTTTGGGAATTGTAGGCCAAAATACCTGGGGACCCACAGGTTGAGAACCACTGCCTTAGATTATACTTCATTTATTTAATTTTTTACTTGCATGCCACTCTGAAATTGTCTAGAATAACGCAGAATATCATTATATTTTAATAAATGTACACATATATGAATGAGTGAATGAATAATTCTTCCTTGTTTATTTCTTGCCAATGATTTCTTAGTATCGCTTGGAAACCTTCACTGAATCAAGGTCCGCAGTCTGGAAAGCAGAGCCGTACAATGGTAAGCAAGATGCTATCAAATAATGTATACATTTCTTGCAACTTGGTAAAATGTGTGCTTGTCCCAGAATGGTGGTTCTTTCTCAGATACCAAACTGCAGTTATAAAATTAGTGAATAATAGGTGAACACTTCCAGAATGCAGTAATAAAGATGTTCAAGGGGAAGCAAGTGCAAGGTCCTGGAAGTCGGGGAAGGAACTTTTAACTTTCTAGTTAATGTTTTGACATTTTCAGTGCAGAAAACCAGATATGAAATATATCACATTAGCTTTTCATTGGGAACCTTCTGGATTGTGACATGGGAGAAAGTGGGCTTTACCCATTTCCTTATATTATTCCTGTTTTCCCCTTTCCAAACTATGATTCCCAATTCAAATGAAACTCCCATTTGTGCTAATGGGTAATGAGCAGGTATGGAAGAGGGCAATACTAACACAAAATTGAATTCTAGAAAACTATAATTTTACAAATAGAAGCTAACACCATTTTTAATATACAGAGTATTTCAAAGAGATAGAAATTGCTGTATCTCTGCAACTACAAAGTACCATGAATGAAACTCTTACCATTTGAAAGAGTTGGGTATAGAGTTTCATATGATTACCACCAGATGCCTCTCTTCCAATGCACAAACAGTCCCTAGACACAGTCATTTCAAGATGATACCACAACATAAGACCTAACAAGATATTAACTTGATAACACATTAAACCAATGGTTCTCAACCTGTGGGTCCCCAGATGTTTTGGCCTTCAACTCCCAGAAATCCTAACAGCTGGTAAACGCTAGGATTTTGTGAGTTGTAGGCCAAAACATCTGGGGTCCCACAGATTGATAACCACTGCATTAAACCATTTATAACTTTTTGTGTAATTGTAACATGTTGCCACCATGAAATAAAGTAGTTTGAAATTGAACCTGTCATTTTGAAACATACTATAGTTTGTGTTGGTATCCTGTGTCGTTTCAATGAATGGCTTACATTGTAACTGAGTGGGAACATTTCTGTTAAGAGAAGAGAAAAAGGGAGGAAAGACTTCCCAGTTATGCCACAGGTACCTAAGTACAGACCATGGTTTTGTGAGTGCACTGGGTGCACTCACAAAATGCTATTCTGCTTGTTATACTGAAATGTTATTCTGCTTGTTTTTAAATATTTTAATAAGGACATTTTAAAATATTTTAGTAAGTATTCTGTATTTAGTATTCTACAACAAATTATGGGCAGACCTAGTCCTGATGATACCTTGTGTTTCAGAAATATGTTGGCTTGTGTAAAGTATAATTGGATATAGTCACCTTTATTGTATATGATATCAAAAATAAGAATTTAGAAATAGGGGAAAGAAGGGTTTTGTGAGTGCACTGGGTCATTGAAATGTTATTCTGCTTGCTTTTAAATATTTTAATAAGGACATTTTAAAATATTTTAGTAAGTATTCTGTATATATAAAGAAGATAGAAAATGTCCCTTGTTATATATGTTGATAATTTTTAATTAGCCTTTCCAGGACAGTCCTTGATGATGAGATGAGATGATACTAATACATGGTGTATCTTTCTTCATGATGCTAATAAATGGCGTATCTGAATCCATTTCAATCTGATTTCACGCTTGATTATGGAACTGAAACTGCATTGATCGCCATCGCGTGCACTGCAGTCAGTGGAGGAGGCCCTGCTCTCGGTCTCACCCTCGTCACAAGCATGGTTGATGGGAACGAGAGTGGGGGCCTTTTCTGTGATCTCTCCCCATCTTTGGAACTCCCTCCCCAAATAAATAAAAATGCCCCCCACCCACCTCTCTGTCAAAAAACTCTTAAAAACACACCAAATTACTTTAGTGTATGGAGAGGAGGAGGACTAAGACACGTTTCAAGTTAATATGTTGGCTAATTTATTTGTACCCATTGCTGCTATGGTACTTTTTAAAGAACAACCATGATTGCCATTTTCTATGTATTTTGATTGCTTGGGTACATGTTTTAATGTTAATTATGTTATTAGTATACATATGTTTTATTTGATTATTTGTATTCTGTTTTTCATTTTGATAATTCTTTTTGTTAAAAGTTTATTGTTATTGTGTTGTATTTTCATTATTCTGAGGTGTTTGTATTTGTTTCAGGGTATTGAATGTTTGCCTTTTTTTGTGTGTTAACTTCCCTGAGTACGCTCAGGAAGATAGGGCGGTCTATAAATAAAGTATTTTATTATTAATATTATTATTATTCCACCTCAGGTGGAGTGGTAGATTCCTTTTTGCATGGTGTGGCTCCTTTACCTTGGGATGTCGTGACATCAGTTCCACCGATGTTCAAAGACTACACTATAAAATTGAAAGTGCCTCACACATCAGCAGTCAAGGTAAAGTATGAATAGAATCATAGAATCATCGAATTGGAAGAGACCTCATGGGCCATCCAGTCCAACCCCCTGCCAAGAAGCAGGAAATTGCATTCAAAGCACCCCTGACAGATGGTCATCCAGCCTCTGCTTAAAAGCTTCCAAAGAAGGAACCTCCACCACCCTTCAGGGCAGAGAGTTCCACTGCTGAACGGTTCTCACAGTCAGGAAGTTCCTCCTAATGTTCAGATGGAATCTCCTTTCCTGTAGTTTAAAGCCATTGTTCCGAATAAATATGATCATTTAGAGAGGATTACAAACTTTGGTTGGCCTTGTTAACAAAGCCAAAATATATGTGGTCTCGACAACCTTCTTTGGGACAAGTTGGAGTTGAGAGGTTTAAGTTGTTTTGATGATAGGTAATATAAATAGCCCACTGAATAGTATAACAGCATCCTTAAGCATGGTTTTACAGAACACATTTCACTGCTGGGAATCCTTCTAAGAAAAGAGGGAAAACATTGCATTTTAAATCTTGAGAAAGTTATCCCTAACATGAAGCTAAGGTAATTACTTTCTGGTTTCTTGATCCAACTTGATCCATTGTAATAATCTATTGGAAGAGTAACTAAGTAACATATTGGTTCAAATAGTGAAATATCTTAGATGGTAAATAATAATGTAGAGTTCTGCTGATATATGCAACTGAACTGCTGTAGTACCAATTTCAAAAAGAGACTGGGATTAATTTCATAAGGCAAATTGTACTTGTAAAGAGGCCAGTATCCTCATGTGTATATAGCAGAGCATAATTGTAGTCAATTCTGCTCCACTTAATACTCTTAACACCTCCTATTCTTTGAGATGACAATGAAGAAACAGCCGTAGAAGCCCCCGGAATCAGAAATGATTTCAAATATAATATACAACAACAAACATCAACTGAGAAATGTATGTAGTGTTATCAATATATCTACATGTATCTGCGTAGCAAACACTGAAACACTTTCAGCAATGTTCTTTATTGAGAATGCTTTGCACAGGCATACTTTGTCCTGTTATTATAATAACTCATAGTGCTATCCATAAAAGGCAATCACAGTGTTCTCTTATTTCTCTGGCTCTGGAGGAGATTTCTGTCATGGTAGAAGAATCATGACCAGTGCCACATACAAAGGAAAGAGGCCTTTCAAACCAAACATGATGGAGAATTTGAGGAACAAAACTGATTGAAAAATAAAAGAGGAGTAAGAAATATAAGAGGAAAAAAAATGGTGTTGCAAATTGCACACAGGGTTAATGCTTAGAGCAGGGAGTTTGTGTTAAAGAGATGGATAGGAAACCGAGGAATGTATTGGGAAGGGCATTTTATGGCCTGAATAACTGGTGAGTTCAGTAACATTGAACTCACTGATGACGCAGTGGGTTAAAGTGCTGAGCTGCTGAACTTGCTGACCTATATGTTGGCGGTTCGAATCTGGGGAGCACGGTGAGCTCCTACTGTCAGCCTCAGCTTCTGCCAACCTAGCAGTTTGAAAACATGCAGATGTGAATAGATCAATAAGTACCACTCTGGCAGAAAGGTAACAGTGCTCCATGTAGTAATGCCAGCCACATGACCTTGGAGGTCATTTACACTATGTTGAATGAAGATGACGCCATTCTAATGTTATTCTCACTTTTATTGAAAGGCATGTCCAACATGTGGAACCTGTGGTAGATGCCCTTGCCAAAAATGCAAAGGCGGCAGTAAGGTAAGCAGTTGCGCATAAAGCAAAGGTCTTGCTTCGTGTAGAGTTTATTGGGAGGAAAGATTGTGGAATGAGAAGCTAAAGGGCGGGATAGATAGGGGAAGGCTGTTCTACTTCTTGTGACATTTTTATTTCTGAACTGAAATTAATCACTGTATTTTCTAAACAGCTGATGATCTTGATTAGCAGGCCTGATGGAGAAACCCAGAGATAAGAACCAGATAGTCAGTTAAAATCTATTGAAGTCACTTCAATGAAGTCATTGGGGTGGATTTTTATATTATACACCAGAGAAATTAAGCTGGATCCCAAAGTTGCACAGATGATTGTGCAAGAGATACCAAAGTCTTCAACTCACCTAAGATGTGATGGTCAGATAGCTAGCTCTCTATCCATTTGTGTGTGTGAATGATCTCGGGGGAGTGGAGGCATTCAGGATGTTTGATGGCGAAGGGATGGTATGTACACAACCTCCAAGAAAACATAACTTTTTGCATGAAAACTTTTACGCTGCCCTTGCACCCCAACAGGATTCTGTTCATAACTGAAAACTAAAAGATAAATAGTATAATTAACAAGTTTAATATCTACTGGACAATTTAAAATATTTTATTTTACATTTATGATACATTAGTTTTTTAAAGACATTCCATTACGTATCTCATTTGCTTGCTTGGTTTCTAGAGATAGTAAGTGATATGCCTTGATGGAAACATTTGAGAGCAAGCAGGTTGGAACTAGAATGGTAGAAGGATTATGAGAACGGAATCTGATTTTACTGAGGCGTTGATGACCACGTTGTTTTGTCTTGTATTGTCTGTCGTGTATGTTGTGTTTTAATCTAATTGTTATTGTTATATAAATTGCATTGTAAACCGCATTGAGTCGCTGATTTAGGCTGAAAAATGCGGTATAAAAATAAAGCAAATAAATAAATAAATAAATAAACTATCATAGATTTGTGTTTGTAAGTTTTTGAAACTGGGTAGCACCAGCTGATTTTGAGGAAATGCCCAACTGCTTTTGTTTAGTGGTGAAGAAGCATAAGGACATTTTAAACTGAGTTGTGGTTGTATGCCACAACTCAGGGACTGGACCTATAGTAACCTTGATATGTTTTGTGTCAGTTCTCCCTAAGTTTGTGCTTCCAACACAAACTATTTCATGGATAATTCTGCCTATTGTATGTTGTTATTTGTTTTCCTATCATTTTAGAGCCCCTGTATTCCCCCTAGGGTTAGGTGGGGGAAAGGCTGAAGTGGAGGAGAGAAGACAGTTTTTTCCAGTCAGATATTTAAATAGGATTTTCCCTGTCTTCTAAATCAGAAAAAGATGACACCTTCCTTTCTGCTACACTAACATACTGAGAAGTAGACTATTTCTTAAACAATTGAGGTTTTTATAGGAGGAAGCCATGATATATAAGGTGTTTTAAAAAGTTTGTCAGAAGCACATATGTGCAAATAGGTTAAAGAGAGCCAGTGTGGTGTAGTGTTTTGAGTTTCAAATCCCCATTCAGCTATGGAAACTCACTGAGTGACTTTGGATACATCTCACTTTCAGAGGAAGGCAATGACAACCCCTCTCTGAACAGAACCTACCAAGAAAACATTCCACAAGTTCATAGAATCATAGAATCATAGAGTTGGAAGAGACCACATGGAACCATCTAGTCCAATCCCCTGCCATGCAGGAAAAGCTCAATCAAAACACCACTGACAGATGGCCATTCAGCCTCTTTTTAAAAGCCTGCAAAGAAAAAGCCTCCACTATGCTCGAAGGCAAACAATTACGTTGCTGAACCGCTCTTACAGTCAATAGCTCTTACAGGAAGATCTTCCTAATGTTCAGATGGAATCTCCTCTCCTGTAATTGGAACCCATGACACTTCCTAAGTAGCAGAAAACAAGCCTGCTCCCTCTTCCTTATGGCATCCTTTTCACATATTTTTATACATGGCTATCACGTCTCCTCTCAACCTTCTCTTCTGCAGGTTAAACATACCAGTTCTTTATCATGCTCCTTGTAAGGCATGGTCTCCATACCTTTGATCATTTTAATTATCCTCCTCTGGACACCTTCCAGATTGTCAATATCTCTTTTAAACTGTAGTGCCCAGAATTGGATGCAGTATTGCAGGTGAGATCTAACAAAGCGGAATAGAGAGAAACCATGACTTCCCTTGATCTAAACACTATACTCCTTTTGATGCAACCCAAAATCCCATTAGCTTTTTTTAAGTTGCTGCATCACACTGTTGGCTCATGTTCAACTTGTTGTCCACAAAGAATCCTAGATCTTTTTCACATGGACTGTTGTCAAGCCAGGTATCACTCATCCTGTATCTTTGCATTTCATTTTTTTCTAAGTGTAGCATCTTACATTTCTCCTTGTTGAAATTCATTTTGTTGATTTTAGCTCAGCTCTCTAATTTTTTATGGTTATTTTGAATTCTGATCCTGTCTTCTGGAGTATTAGCTGTCCCTCCTTGTGATGATGCGTAACTTTTATTCTTATGGTTATGTGTTGTTTAAACAGTAGTTAATAAATGGTAAGTATGTAGGATTATTGGTAGGTTACATACCTGTGACCATCTTTCTTCGAGTGGTGC